ACCGCTGAACTGCAGATCACAGTCAGCTAAAGTGGCCTGCAGTACTGCACCCTAACCACTGCGCCACCTCGGCTCTTATATAAGATGTATCCATCTTTGAGCAAAAGGGCTCCCATCAAGATGAAGGAACAGTAAATGGTGGTTTTTATTATATTTCTGTAGTCCTCCTTCCCTCAAGAGGCCTCCCTGATCTCCTCCATATCTTCTCAAGGACCATCTAAAGTGATAACATCTTAGGTTAACACTCTCTAACCACGATTCCCCACTGTTATGGAAGGCAACTGACCTCCAGTTTATCAATGCTTTCCTTCACTTTGATCTTGGCTGTCTTCAACCGGTCCCGGAGCTGCTGGTAGTACGTTGATGGAACAGACATGAACTCCATGCCACGATCTTTCAAGTTTGTGATCTACATCCGGAGAAGATTCATGAGTGTAAGATTGACCCCTTTGAAGGAGTTGACATTTTGGGTGGGAAGGTTTGAAAAGAAACGGGCATTCTTACCGAAGCGATGATGTCTGAAGTGTTCAGGGCGATGTGCTGGACTCCAGGGCCTCCGTAATAGTCCACGTATTCCTGTGGAACAAAAGAAACCAAGGTGGACCATATGCCAAGATCTCATGTTGAGGAACATCAACCGTGTCTACATTCTCCTGCATTTGTGGTAGTAGTAGGTTAAGAGTGGAGGAGATCACTGCATCACCGGTGCTTGCTCCTGGTTCATTCTGACTTGTGATGTGACTTGGGTATGAATGTCGGTTTCAAGCTCTGAATCCTGGTTTGCTAGGAGTCATCATCGGCTCAGTCTTCCTCACGAAGACGACAAGAGGGCTTCAGGGCAGCCCACGTGTCTTTCTTCTTCGGGCTATCCCACCTGTGACTAGAGCCTCACTCAATCTTGCAAGAGGTTGGAGAAGAGGCCAGCTAGATAAGGATAAATCAGTTGCAAATATCCCCTCCCAAAATACAACGAGGTCTGTTGCAAAGAGAATTGTGGTGGATGTTTCCACTCACTCCCACCCGCCCACAGAAGTCCACTTTGTGGTACCTGGATCTGAGATTTCTTCTTGCCCATCGCAGGTTCATTGATGGGCATCCTGATGGTCTCCTCATAATTGGCCATGACCACGGACCTCAAGGCGCTGTATTCGGTGTGCAGCTGTTTGTCGTCCACAGACCAGAAACGATGGAACTGGAGGTTTTTCTGATACCTGCAGAACGGCAACAGAGACCTTGTAAGGTAAAGCTTCCCCTCGCACATATGTACTAGTCGTTCCCGACTCTAGGGGGCGGTGCTCATCTCAGATTCAAAGCCAAAGAGACAGCGCTGTCCGAAGACGTCNCTGTCTAGAGAAATTCCAGTTCGAATTGACCCTGGAGGAGGAAGGAGAGTACTCAGATCCATCTGAGAAGGACCACAGCAGTCCTGGAGACGAGGACAACAGCTACTACACAGCCACAGAAGAACAACACGACTCCCAGGACGGGCAGGACAGACGAACGGACAGTACAGCAGTTGGCACATCACTTGGCACGTCATGACTCTGGGAAGAGACAACTGAAGAAAACAAGCTCCCCTACAGAGACACACACGGTGGTTTTCATGAGGGAGGGGGGGGGATAAAAAAAAATGGAAAAAAAACTCATTTTTTTATTTTTATTGTATTTTTTATAAAATGAAAACTAAGAAAAAAAATGTAGGGGGGGATGGGGAACACACACAACAACTGTAGAACCAGGTTGGCCCCAGCAGAGGGTCGTAGCCTGCTGCTGTAGTAACTGGCCCTAAGCCAGTGTTTCTCAACCTTGGCAACTTGAAGATGTCCGGACTTCAGCTCCCAGAATTCCCCAGCCAGCGAATGCTGGCTGGGGAATTCTGGGAGTCGAAGTCCGGACATCTTCAAGTTGCCAAGGTTGAGAAACACTGTCCTAAGCACTCCAGAAATAATTTTCCATTTCCTTTTTCTGTCCCTTTCTTCCCTTCATCACTTCTGACTGGTTGTTTTTAATTACTTCATTTTGCTAACTTTTTTTTAGACTTCTGCAACCAGGAAAGGGGAGGAGGGCAGCGAGGAGGTGAGGCATGTATGTAGCAGCAGAACGAGAAAAAGGCCAAACAGAATTATTTTTAAAATAGTGGTTTTGCCTATTTGTAGTAAAAAAAAATAAAAATAGATGCCAGTGGCAAGGAACTCAACAACAAAAACTGGTCACCATTTGGCATCGATACACGCACAGAGAGAGAGGTCAGTGTTTTTCAACCGCGGCAACTTCTAAGATGTTTGGATTTCAAGCCCTAAAGTTCCCTACCCAGCCATCCTGGCTGGTTGGGGGGGGATTCTGGGAATTAAAATCCACACGCAGGTGCCCAGGTTGAGAAACCCCACTGTAATTCCTTTGTCCCAGATACGTCCTCCCCGTTTAGCTCATATATTTGTGCCTTTATTTCACTGGAGGGAAATCTCGGATGCTCTTCGGAGGGCGTCGGAATCTTAACCCCTCTTCTCCAATGTCCCTTTGGAAGAGCTGGAGGTTTAAGAGTCCAGCGCCCCCTGCAGGCCCAGATATTTTTCTCAGCGCCCTTGGGAGCACAGCTTCTCCCAGGCGGACGGACGTTCAAACATTGGAGGCGGCCGGGTGAGAGGGGAAATATTGTTTTTATTTTTGTAAGTTATTTTTTAAGCTAGTGGTTATTTATTTTTGTGAATTTACATAGATTTGATTTTTTTATTATGGACTGATGAGAACGTTTGCCTTTGAGGAATTTGTTGCTGTTGTTCATGTGTGTTTTTTTCTCTCTCTCTCTCTCCTTTCTTGGGAGTTCTTTCCGTTTTCTATTTAATGTATAGTTTGCAGGTGTGGATTTTTAATTTTGTTGCCTACAATGCCATAGATTTCTCCCCCAGAGCAAATGGGAGAAGATACTATTTTACAGAAAAAAATGAAACTTAAAAAAGGGAACAAGAATCAAAAAATATTCTATCCAAGTTTCCAAATAGCCGAGTCTTCCTCCGTTCCTCATTTTGCACAAAAATCAAAAGGCAATACGGCCAGGATCAAATATTTATGCTGGCCAACTTGCTTAAGACAGCTCTCAGCTGAGGATCTCAGGTGTGAGTATTCCCTCCTACAGGTTGGGGGACGGAATCAGCAGATATGAGGACTGGGGAGAGGGGTGGTGTATGCTAAGTGGCGTTTGTTTTTATCAGTGATTTGCAATTTTACCTTTCTTTATCTGTGTCTGGATGCTGCTTGATGAATCTCTGAAATGCAGTGCTCACAGATTTCTCAGCTACAAAAAGCAGGTGTATTGAAAGGATCTTCCCATTTCCCACCCTTAGAAGAATAGAAAATTAGCAGCCTTTCCTAAATGAACTTTCTTTTTACGTGATGTGATGTGTATCAACAAGGCTGGAACCCAAACATTGATTTATAGAGTTGAAACTGGAAGAGGAGAGATGGGTTTTGGTTTTAATCTGTTATGAATTTCAGAAAGAAAAAGCTTCTAACTGACTTGGTTCCAGAGATGGGGATCTGTCTCAGACACCCTCAGCTACCATAGTAATAGTAATAAAAGAGTAATAAAAGAGCCCCTCTCTCTTATTGGCTCAGAAAGCCACATCACTTAGCTATAAAGTAGGGAACAAATTGCTTGGATCAGATTTGAGACCCCATTCTTGGAGGTAATCAAATGAAAAAGTCACCTGCCTTGAAATCAGATTTGGAGACAATTTTGCTAAGAGTGGTTAGCCAAAGGGAATCTGACAGGTTTCCTTGGTCCTGTGGAGGCTGTGAAAGTAATCCAAATCTTGCTCCACAGGTTGCCATGTCAGATCCCTTCTTTCCTCCATCCTGGAGGTATCTGTAGGGGCGGTTATTCCCAGAAAAAGAGAGACTGTACTTGCATGGCAGAAAATAAAACTAGAGGCCTCGTCATGAATTTGCTCTCGATTATCATTATCCCAGGAGAAATCTGTTTGGCTGCTTATTTACTTTGCCTTAAACTAGCAAAACAGTTTGATTTGCTAAATGCAGCATCCTTGCGTTGAAGGGAGAACGTTTTCTGGTTCCCAAAACGCTTTTCATGCATCACATCAAAAGGATATTTGCTACTGGGCCACTAGTTTTTCAGTGGGCAAGGAACACTGCGGGATCCGGTTCACCGACAAAAGGGCAAACGACAAAACCGCGCCCGACTAAACCGCGGTGATAAAACCGCGTGTTCTAAAGCGCTCCGACGAATGAGCGCTGAATCGCGCCGACAACAGCGCGGAGACAGAAGCGCGCTGTAAAACTAAACCTAAACCTAATCCCTAATGCTAAACGTAATGCTAAACCTAACCCTTAACCTAACCCTAAATCTAACCCTTACCTTAAGTTAAATCGGCTTTCTGTCTCCGCGCTATTGTAAAGTGCCCTTCTGTCTCTGCGCTGCTGTCTCCGCGCTGTTGTCGCCGCGTTGATGACATTGCGGTTTTAGCGGCGTGGTTTAGTTGGGCGCGGTTTTGACGTTCGCCCTTTTGTCGGGTCACGGCGGGACCCAGTCTTCAAAGGAGGACCACGATCCTCTTGGCATTGTTTCTCTGCCTCTGCGGCCTAGTCTTGGGCTGGTTGATGTGTGGGCATGTTCCCCTTGCTATGCAACCATGCCTCCTTCTGTTTAATAGTAGGAAGACAGCTGTAGTTTTGGATCTGTTGAGTTTCTTGGTGGCAGAGCCATTGAGTGTTGTAGCCTAGTTCAGCTTCTCTTCCAGACTCCTGGGGGAGAAGATATACTGCCCCCCACCCCACCCTTGTCCCTCTTATATGGCTTACCCAGCATCAGTGCACGACTCCCATTACACCCCCCCCCCAAACCTTGCAAGAGGTGAGGGTGAAGCAATAACAACGAAGCCCTTTTTCCTACCCCCCATTGCTACAACGGAGCTGTTGAACCAAAGCCAAATCTCCTCTTTTGCAAAGGTCTCATTCCACACACAAGGACGCCACCCACTTTGCATCGGCTGCTCCTTAAGCCAGTCCTGTTAGCATGCAAGCTTAGTGATGTAATATTTCAGGCCTATGCCAGCCCAAGCTTAGGAAGAGGAAGTTGTGGGATATGCGCTGGGCGCTGCTGGTTGGGTAGACCAGAGCATTCCCAAGGGCCGGACTGAGACCACGACAGCTTTGGTTAGCCACATCATACCCTAGGACAGTGTTTCTCAACCTTGGCGACTTTAAGGGTTCCACCACAAATCCGCGAAGCCCTTATCCGCGGAGACATAAGCGCGAAGACTAATTCGTGCCGTTCTAAGCGCTAAGGAAANCTCCTTAGGACGCCATCAGCCGGACAGTGTCGGCTGGCGGGGCCTCGGAGGAGGGCCTTCTCTGTGGCTGCTCCCACTCTGTGGAATCAGCTGCCCCCAGAGGTCCGGACCTCACCCACCCTCATGGCCTTCAGAAAAGCTGTTAAAACCTGGCTGTTCCGGCAGGCCTGGGGCTGTTGACCTTATTATGTAGGGTCCAGCCCCGATCAGAACGTATGCGTGTTGGGGATTTTTTAAATTGTTTTTTATTTTTATTTTGTTTTTCTTTCTTGTTCTTTGTAAGCCGCCCGAAGTCCTCCGGGATTGGGCGGCCTATAAATATAATAAATTGAATTGAATCGAATTGAATTGTGAAGTTGTGTCCTACCCATCGTGACCCCATGGACAATGTTCCTCCAGGCCTTCCTGTCCTCTACCATCTTCTGGAGTCCATTTAAGCTCACGCCGACTGCTCCAGCCACCTCATTCTCAGTTGTCCCCTTCTTTTCTTGCCCTCAATCTTTCCCAGCATCAGGCTCTTCTCCAGTTAGTCCTTCCTTCCCATTAGGTGGCCAAAGTATTTGAGTTTCATCTTCAGGACCTGGCCTTCTAAACAGCAGTCAAGGTTGATTTCCTCTAGGACTGACCGGTTTGATCGCCTTGCAGTCCAAGGGACTCGCAGGAGTCTTCTCCAGCACCATAGGTCAAAGGCCTCAATTCTTTGATGCTCAGCCTTTCTTATGGTCCAACTTTCACAGCCCTACATTGCAACTGGGAAAACCATAGCCTTGATTATATGTACTTTTGTTGGCAGGCTGATGTCTCTGCTTTTTAGTAAGATGTTTAGATTAGCCATAGCTTTCCTCCCCAGGAGCAAGCATCTTTCAATTTCTTGGCTGCAGTCCCCATCTGTGTGGTTATAGGAC